AAAGCTTTTAAACTTGAAAATTTGAATATGTTACAGTGTACTTAAGGACCAAAAATAACTACAAAGAAGCCATGTAAGATACTCACTACTAGAGCGGGGTGGTAGTGGCGCATCCCTTTAATCCCAGCACTTGGGAGGCAGAGGATGGCGGACTCTGAGTTCGAGTCCAGCCTGGTCTACAAGAGCTACTTCCAGGACAGGCTCTGAAGCTACACATAGAAACCCTGTCTCGAAAAGCCAAAAAAAAAAAAAAAAAAAAAAAAAAGCAATACTCATTGATAGAAGAACTTAGTACTTAGTTTAAAATATAAATAATTTTTATTGTCAACTTTAAGAATTAAGTCTTCACTATGAAACAGAAGATTATAGATCAAAGTTATTTAAGAATAAATTTCAATGGGGGGTATTGGTGTGAGTTCATTAATATTTTCTACTTAAGAGAATTTCTAGCCTTTTTTCATTAAAAATAAGAAAGAACAAGTGTCTCTGGTCCCGCTGCCATACCTACCTGTCAAGAGACCTGGGTTCCATGCAGAAAAGGGTTCTCAAATTTACAGTAGCATGTGTAGAAAGTGGACCTGGGCTTGACCTTTACTGCAAAAAGCAAGCTCAAACAGCCAGGGTCTTATTAAATAGCATTTGCTAGCCAAAGTCGTTGCAGAACACTGAAACACAAGCATGAGGTAGGAGGTACCAGGCGAATTTGTGACAGTGCTTTGTCTGAAAGTGCACTGTCAACACCAGTTCACTGCTCTAAAATGGAGAAGAAAGTCTGAGCTCCATTTCAGGTAAATTGTTGAGTTGCTTCAACTCACAAGTGGAAAATGATCACCTGCCCTGCTGAAATTATTAAGTAAATTGGTAGAACATCAAAAGAAACATTCAGCAGGATATGAGGCATTGTGGAAAAGGAATAAATGTGTTCAGACTACATATGACAAAGGGTATCCAAAATAAGGAACCCAAGAACAAGAAATTAGCCTGACTTTAAAAATGAGCAGAGGACCTGATAATACTTCTCATGAAGTAGGCCCAGCAGTACTAGTGTGAGTATCACCTCACACCTGTTGTAGAGAGATAGTGGGTTCTGTTGAGAATCTAATGGAGGGTGGCCATTGTGGAAGACACTGTACAACCCAGCAGTCCCTCTTCTGAGTATTGAGAAGTGAAGTCAGCTAATCAAAGGGAAGCTCTACTTCCATTTGTATGTAATGGCCAACATGTGCTTAACCTGAGTGTGCATGGAAGGATGGATAGGAAAGAAGACACATTTAGACACTGCTATACTATCTGGTCACAAACATGAAATACTGTCGTTCGCAGCAGCATGTTTTGTGCATATCAGATACAATTGCTGTATCTGACATGGAATGTAAGGTCACACTCAGAAGCATTGAGTCAGATGGCAGAAGAGATACCTTCTGGAATATACCACACAAGGTTTTCACAGCAAAGAGTGAGTACACTTGGAAATCTCTGACCACAGCTTAACTGTTCTCAACAAAATAAAGTATGTGACAGACCTGTTGATTAGTTTGATTTAGTCACTGTAAGATGTGTGCATGTGTCAAAATAGCACATTGAACACCATAATATGTGCAGTTTTAGTTTGTTAGTTACACAGATGGTACCTGTTAATGTCAAAATTTGGTCTAAACAGGCTTCTGGGTCCATATGATTAGTAGACATAGGAATCCACCCAAAGCCAGACTTTAGATAATTCCATGAGAATTACCAGATAAGGGGTTTTGTTGTTGTTGTTTTAAGATCCTCACCAGCACCCCTAAAAGTCCCATGGAGTAAAAGAAACTTAGAGCTATATCTACCAAGTAGATTGTATTTAGACTTGATTGGGATCCTGAGTTGTGCAACTGTCATGGTGTGTGTGTTGGCTAGCTGGAGGAGGTCAAACTAAGGAGATAATTAGGGGGATTTGCTGAGTTGTTGATATTGAAATGAGAGATTACGTTTAGAAACTTGTGAAAAATAAGGAAAGATGCCTGGCATTGGTGGCAGAGGCAGGCAGATCTCTGAGTTCGAAGCCAGCCTGGTCTCCAGGACAGATTCCAAAACTAATAAAAAGAGTGCAGCTAGCATGTGGAAAAAGTTAGGATACTAGATATCTCATACAAATCTTTTCTGTTGCCTTTTTGTAGCAGTATCTACTTCATATCTATAGTTCACGCACGGCACCACTCTATAATTTTATCTTTTGAGGTTGTATAAATAAGACACACATTATACTTTTGGAAACTGGCTTTTAACTCAACACAAATGTTTTTCTAGGTTGCATGTATCAATATTTCCCTTTTATTTATAATTATTTTTTAAAAAAAAAAAACATTTTGCAATCGGTACAGGGCAGGATTCTGGTGAAATAAATATAAAATATTTATGATCTGCTTTAAAATCTAAGGGGAGGGGATTATAACTTCTATGTTTACAATTGCTAAAGTTGCTTGGTAGGTACGTGGGACTCAGTCTAAGATTCTCTTCTGGGGTGTCTAAAGTTAAAAGTATAGCTGTGTGTTTTGAGTGGACGCTAACCACAAAAACTAAAAATGCAGCATCGGCACTCTGTCAGCATCACAGCAGAGTCTTATCGTCTCTTTGCTGCACAGCTTTATCGGCTGACATGTGCCAGGACTCCTTTTAATCTTCAGTTTTCTTTTGGACAATTTTATCATGTTGTCTTAGCTGGCATTGAACTCCTGGGCTCCAGCAGTCATCCTGCCTCATCTTTTCTGTGGTGGGACTATACACACTGACAACACACCAGCCTTGTTTTTTGTTTGTTTGTTCTAACATGTATAGGTTCGAGTACCACCTGTGAGCTATCTATCCTCTTGAACTGGAGTTACAGTAGGTTGTGAACTGCCATGCGAATGCTGGGGATGAAACCTGGGTCTTCTGCAAGAACAAAAGTGCCCTTAATCACAGCCATCTCTCCAGCCCACTCCCCTATTTTTAGATAGTTTCAAAACCATTTTTTAGGTATGCCATAGTTATATGATTAAAACAGATGATAAACGTTTGCTTTGTGCCCTGTGTGAAAACTACCTGATTTGGAGGGGAGTGGAATGGAAATAGGAGCAAGTCCCTTCAGTGGCGTCCATCCACTCCAGGCCCTGAGCCAGCCTTACCAAGGCAGTTAAGTGATAGGATTTGAACCACAGGCCAAATGTTTCTCTTCTGTAGCACATCTGTGAACCCCACCTTAAAATATTTCTTTTCCCTTGGCTTCTCCATCCACTGACCAAGCCAGCATTTCCTCATCTAGTCCATGAAATGGCAACAGATGTTCCATAAAGAACGTTTAATGGAAAAGTATTTAACCCAATACTTTCCTATGTGCATAGAGATTATTTATACTGAGATTTTCTCACCAAATTATGTGTAAATATATATTATATATCACCAAGGGGGAACATTCATCTTGAAGCGTTCTAAAATTTTTGCATAGAATGTTGTGTTTGGTTTTGTTTTTACAAGTCATCCATAGATACCTCGAGGAACACACAGTTCTCTGTCATTTCTGTGTTCTTGATTCTCATTCACTCCTTTACACAATTAGTTTCACCTAAATCTTGTAGGTTGTTTCTTGAGTATAATCTCACAGGTGCATTTGCCTGCCTTAGCCTACAGGAAACACTGCTTTTCCTGCAGTGACTGTATTTTACAAGGGCCGTGTTAGCTGCTGTTCCTGCATGGATGCCAGGGTTGCAGTTGCCAGCTGCCACCTATGGTCTGTGCTGAGTACCTGCACATACTGTTCCCTTTACTGCACCACCAGAACAGAACAGTTGCCCCAAGATTAGGGTGGAACATTGCGTTTCTGTACATTCTGTCTGGAAAGCCTATCAGCAGCGGAGTCCTCTCCTGTGAACCTCAAGTTTGACATAGTGTCTACGTGTGATGACTGTGGCTCTTAAACCCAGGGGTCCTTAAACACCACACGTGTTTCCTTTCTCACAGCATGCGTGTGATCAACTGGCTGTACCTCCATGAATGTTTGGCTGTATTCGCTTTATGGAAGTATTAATTGTCAAAAACATGTTTTATGTTGGAAGTCTGAGAGTAGCTTTCATTCCTTTTGTTAATAAAAGTCTTTTTTTTTTTATTTCAGTATAATGTTATAATTTCCTTAAAGTTTTTTTTTCATATGGAACATTTTTTTTAAACAAAACCGTTTCTTGGTGCTGGTAGGGCATTCAGAATTTAATGTAATCCTGCATTCCATACTTTATTAAAGCATTTTTTAAAGTTTGTGGATAGTCACATTTTATAAGTCAGCTGTCTTATTGTGGCCTCCTCTTTGGCAGTACTAGAGCTCAAACCTAGAGCCTTTTGCATGCTAGGCAAGTGCTCATTCTCTGAGCTGTGTCCGAAGCCTGTGTGACCGCTTTATGTTGTCATGATTGACTCATTTCTTTGCATAAGTTCATCCAGATTTATGTTACTTTTCAGTGTTATCAAAGCAACCTCCTATAGCACTTCCATAGATGATTAATGCTAGATTAACCTTTCTTAAAAATTTTATTATTATTATGTATATGTTTGCCTGTGTGTGCCTGGTGCCATTGGGTCCCCTGGGACTAGAGTTAGACAATTTGAGCCACCTTATTGGAGGCTGGGAACTGAACTTATGGACTCAGAAGAGCAGCCACAGCAATTAATTAATTAATCAATCTTGGTTTATCATGCCTATTTACAAATAATCTCATTAATTAGCTCTGTCCAACTCTTTACCATCTAATCTGCCATTTTACTTTGACAAATATTTGGTGGAAATCGAGAAAGTCTGTGCATTATCAGTTGCGTTTAGATTCATGTTTTATCCCACTTTATGAAAGTTACTTTGCTGTCATTTGAACTCAGTTTTTTTAATGGAATGACTGACTTAAAATTTTTCTGTTAAAAACTTTAAAAGTTTTGCTGTATAAATGCTAGTTAGAAACTGTGTCCATATCATTCTCAGTGTCTGAATACATTCTTTTCAGATTTTGAAAAGTTACAGAAAAAAGAAAAGGGGAAAGAAGAGTGTTGAGAAAAGTTTGTATGGGGAAAGAGATATCGCATCTAAGAAGCCGCTCCTGAGCCCCATCCCTGAGCTGCCCGAAGTCTTCGAAATGACACCTCTGGCTGACTGCACGCAGATGATATGTTCAGGTGCTGCTTCTCGGCCCCTCTGTTACTACTGTACTCTTTTCTCTTCCTTTTTCCCATTCACTTTTATTTAAAAAAAAAGGGGGGGGGGGAATGAATCCGTTATCAGTAAAGGAAGTTGTACTCTGATCTGTGAGGGGCCTAGGCTCTATCAGAATCTGATGAAATTCTCAGAAATTCTTTTTATCAGAAAAATTCAAACAAAATTTGCATGTAATTTGGGGGAGGTTATTTCTGTTCATCTACTTTTGCTGCAGTTTGTTATGATGAATTATGTTTGCTTGTGTGGCTCATCACAGACAGTGGATTATGTATGCATTTTAGGAGTTAATAACAGTGCTGGATGCACGCCTTTAATCCCAGCACATGAGAGGCAGAGGCAGGTGGATCTTTGTGAGTTCAAGGCCAGCCTGGTCTACAGTTAAGCTACACAGAGAAACCCTGTCTCAAAAAACTGAAAGGGGGGGAGGGGAGTTAATAACAAAAATAGGAAAATAGAAAAACTTGCCTCCTAACATTTCCTTACAATTATAATCTAGAAATGTTTACAAGTTGAGCTTGATTACCTTAAAAGTTACTTTCACAAGCGAAGATCAAGTTGATGTATATCATAAGATTATTCATTTTATGTGTATGTTTTGCCTGCATGTATGTGCACCATATGCATGCATATATATATATGCCTTAGTGCCTGTTGTGGCCAGAAGATATCAGATTCCCAGAAATGGATACAGGTGGTTGTGAGTTACCAGGGGTATTAGAAACCAAACCCACACCCTCAGCAAGAGTAGCCAGTGTTCTTAAGCACCGAGCCATCTCTCCAACCCCTATAATGCATAGGTCTAAACTGAGCTTTCATGTTTAAACTGTTCTGATAAAATTGCTTCCATTTAGCATTCTGATTTTGTATGTAGCCATTTTAAAATAGCTTCCTTTGTCCAATGTCATATTATCTTAGCCTGGATTTTTAAAAAATTAAAGATGAATATATGTGTCACTGTAGACTTCTACAGGCATCTCAACTTGAGGACAGAGCAGGAGTTTTTTGTTTGTTTGTTTGTTTTAGTTTTTCAAGAGAGGGTTTCTCTGTATTGTTTTAGAGCTTGTCCTGGAACTGGCTCTGTAGACCAGGTTGCCCTTGAACTCACAGAGATCTGCCTGTCTCTGCCTCCTGAGTGCAGGGATTAAAGGTGTGTGCCAGCAATGCCTGGCTCAGAGCAGCAGTTTAACAAGTACTCAGAATAATTCATTCCTGGTGCCTATCGTTTGCTCCTGCCCTCTCATGTGGAGTCCTGTGGGATAGGAGTCCTTCCATCTACCTCCTTTTAATCTGGCCTTGATTCTGCTTATCTATTAAAATGTTACTGCCTTCCTTTGTTGCAGGGAAATACTATGATGACCTTAAGTGTTTTTAATCCATAATTGCTGTTGTCATATGAAAAGAGTGTTTAAGACAATTTAGTTTCTTTCCATCTTACTCTATAACTTGTCTTGCCAGCACCTCTTTTTTCAGTATGCTATAAAAATATATCAATACTAATTTTAAAGTTATAAAAGAACCTAGTTAATATAGTCATCCTAAGTCATAACTTGTATGAATCTCTAACTTTACATATTATTTACATACTTTAATCATGAATGAGTTTTTTCAGATTGAAACATTGATTTTTTTTTTAAACTTCAAGCTCAGCTATATTTTATAATGTATCTTTCAGCTTTGATTTAATTTGAAACATCTTTTATATTCACTTGAATGACCAACTAAAAGCATCATCTTAGACAATAGAGATAGAATCTAATAGCACTGATTTAGAATCATAAGAACTGAATTCCTATAGGACAGTGGTTTTCACCCTGTGAGCCCCTTGGGGGCTGAACAGCTCTTTCACAGGCCTCAGCTAAGGCCATTGGGAAGCACTGATACTTACATAACAATTCATAACAATAGCAAAATTACAGTTATGAAGTAGCAACAAAAATAATTTTATGGTTGAGGATCACTACAACATGATTCAGAACTGTATGAAAGGGTCATAGCATTAGGAAGGTTGAGAACCACTGCTCTAGGACATGTCCCTTCTCAATCTCAAACTTTACTAGTTGCTTTCTCACCTATGAAGTACTGCAAACACACACAGAGGTACATGTAATATTCTTGCCTGGAGGATGAAGCTTTGTCAGAAAGAAGGGCTGGATTTTGAGATTGGGTCCCCTGGCTCTGTCTACTTTTTATATATTTTATTTTATATCTATTTTTATATATTTTTACGGGCATTCTTAGAAACCATGACAGCTGTATACTTCAGTTGCTATGTTTTCATGTACCCCAGAATTCTCATTTTTATCACCTTGTTTCAAGAAGACATTGACTGAAGAATTTGACAAGTGTGGTGTTGTCTGGTTTTTCAGGAACTGTTTCACACTGTTGATTGAACCTTGTAGTATGGGAAGCGCATTAAAGAAAAGGAAATTAAGACAGCAGTCTCATTTTCATAGTCTGAAGTTGTATGCTTTATTAATTCATGCATTGAACACTTGTTTTCTTAACCTGTGGCCTGGGGCAGTGAGGGACGGAGAGTGACAGATAAAAGCAAGAACAGTGTGATGATTATGGGTTGTGTAAGCTCTGAAAGCATAAAAGACAGTATTGCATAGAGCACATTGCATGAGTCAGACTGCTTATTTAATAGGCAATGCACTGTTCCTTTGTAATTGAATGTAAGTGTGTTTATATGCCGTAGATGATTTCAGCGTAAGTGGCGAACAGGAAGAAATGATCTCTCTTGAAATGCCTGCGAAAAGAAAGCGACTCTTGCCTCGGGAGGAAGACTTGCCTGAGCTGGATCCAGTGTTTCATCTGTCTCCTGTGTCTGAATTGTGCTGCTGCTTGTTGCCAATCACTGCTGCTTCTGCAGGAGGGCCAAATGCCAACACTAGGGTCACAAGCAGAGCCCGTAACTCCAGAGCCACAAGTAAGCATCAAAGTGCAAAGGAACCAAAAACCGAGACCAAGACTGAAAGCATCCCTATGCCTTGTGCATCTGTTACCCAAGGGCACGTTGTGTCAGGTAATCCAAAGCCTCTGTGTAGCCCTCGGTGCCAGGAAGTTCCCAAGACTGAGCAAAATACAGAAAATCCTTGTGAAGTCCTTACAGTTTCAGAGAATGTGGATATAAAGTGTGGGGAAGAGAATGTGTACCCAGCTCCAAAGGGGAATCCGCAGTGCGTCCCTGTCACAGCTGGCTCGGACAGGGAGCGTAATTGTTCAAAAGGTGTCCTAGTTGAAAATCTGAAAGAATCCACAAGCCACAGTGAGGCCATGGGAAGAAAATGTGCAGAAAACAGCAACCCCATGAGTGGTAGAGAAAGGAAACAGAGGAGAATCTCTATGCATTGCTATGTGGGTCAGAGGTCATACCTGAAACAAAATGGGAACTCCGCATATTCCAACAGTGGGGGAAGCTCTGCAGAAATTGGTTTAGTAAATCCTCAGCTGTGTGAAGATTTATCTGATGCCATAGAGCAAAGCTTTCAGAGAACAAGCGGTAAGCCCAAAGTGAGACGCAGCACAAGGCTCCAGGGAGACTTGGAAAACACAGGGCTTGTATGGATGTTACCTCCCACTCCTCCCACATCCCAGAAAACCAAAAGGAGGATGACGATTTGTGCCTTTGACAGCAGAGAATTTGAAAGAATGCCCTCCAGAGAAGAGACTGTATCCTCAAGACAAACCCCAGGTCCCCTGCCATTCATCCCAGGCAGTGGGAGCCAGGGTGTTGGTTCTTCCAAGCTACCTGGGAAAAGGAGGAAGAGCTGTGTGTCTACACTCCCAAATGCTGAGAGTACCACTGAGCCACCATACTTCAAGAGAAAACCCTCTCTCAAGAAGGGCGAGAGCTCTCAACTGCAGTGAGGGGCTGGGCACGGGAGAACCAAGGCAGGACTGACTGTTCCACCTGGCATTGGCTGTTAGGAGGGGTCCCAGTGGCCTCCCTCCTGCTTCCATCCCTGTTGAGCTTCAGTGCATTGCCCGTTTCTAATAAAAAGCATTTGAGTTGTGATGACTTTCAGTAGAAATAAGTGGATTTCTTCATCCAAGAGAATAACATGAGTGTGTATCTTCTCCCTCCAAATGCTAAGTGTTTATTAGTCTTTTGCTAAAATGTTCATTTCTACACCCGACAATGTGTTTTTATTCCTGGCATTTTTATTCCTGGCAAGTCACATTTACCACTGAAGGCTTAGACTGTTCTGGAAAACATCCTTTAGAGTGACTTACTCTTTTATTTGAGTTAAAGTGAACACCAGCTTGGATGACTTGGTTGTCCATCTCAAACCAAAGTGAGGCCCTACATTGAAAGTTTTCTTCAATGACCGAACTCTACAGATCCATTGTTATAAATGAATATGTAATTAGACATGACTATGCAGTCATTCTTCTAGATGGTTCAAATCAGTCATAGGTAATTCAGAATTTAATAATTGTTTCCTATTAAATTTATTTTTAAAAAGTAGGAACTTAAGTGTGTTCTAGAAAATTTGTTTACCAATGCAAAGAAAGCATGGTGTGGGTCACTGATTTCTTTTAACAGCATTTGTTTACTAATATCCATACTGTCACTTGTCTGTCCCCTCTGAGCTTAGTTAGCTTTTGCAACTCCCTAGTCTTGGTGACAAAAAATTTAAAAGTCTAAACTGTCTGCCATATATCTGGAATCTGTAAATGTAATAAATCGCCTTATCATTAAACAATAGTCCCAGAAACCCTTTAAATCACTAGCTCTCCTTCAGCCTGATAGCAGAAACATGTTAACAAATAGAGCGCCCTATAAATAACACACCAGGGAAGAAAGCTCCTGCTGGGCGGCCCATTTCCCCCTCGGAGGTGGAGCTATTTGTTACAGCCTTGGCACCACCAGGTCTGGAGCCCCTGCTGAGAAGGACTGATGGATTTTACATTAACAGGCAAAGTGATCCCCAATTTTCTTCTATTCACGGGTGAATTGTCTAAAACTTTCTTTTATCTCTACATGTAAATCGTTTATGGACTTTTCTCTCCCTTGTATGTAGTCACCAAGTCAGTAGCGCTAAACACACACATACCAAAATGATAAAGAATTAACTCATTCGGAAACTTCTTGGGTTGCGTGATTTTGAAAGGGGGTGCAGGGTCCCAAACACACAAACTTGAAACATGTTAAGAAGGTATTGGGTTTTAAAAAAATAATTTTACTATTTTGCCCTTGTTTGGGATGAAACTCAAAAGCTATTTGACTTCAAAGTACTGACTGATCGTGACTGTCTAATGTAAACGTGTTCTCATTTTTCAGTACTGAGATTAAATCTGTAAGTCCACTCTGCAAATTACGTTCATTTTGAAATGTTTCATTATAAATGCTTGGTTGGTGTTTATAGACAGAACCCTTAGACCAGTGGTTCTCAACTGTCCTGATGCTGTGACCTTTTATAGTACAGTTCCTCATGTTGTGGTGACCCCAACCATAAAGTTATTTTATCTGCCACATATCATCAGAGGCTTAGTGAAAAGTCAATTTTCGTATTTGATCATGCCCCACCCTCTCCCCCATGTCTTTTCATTAATGGTAAGCTGAAAGTTATTTTTCCCTGCCTTCCTTCATCTTTTTTTCTACAAGTAACTAACCCTGGGTTCTTACTTAGAATGTCTCCTCTTCATTCCTTCTGTCCTTGCAGATTCTCATTTCTTCCAGAAGATGGCAGTGTGGCTCCTGCAGTTTTCCTTGTGTGTGTGTGCAAATAGGAAGAAGGCCAGGGCTGCTTCTAACTATTGTTGTCTGAACTTCCCGATATTTCACTCGTCCTTTACTAGGAAATCAAGAATGCTTGGGAAGAAAGCAGAGAAAACACATAATGTAAAACAGCTTTCTGTATACAGAAACTCAATTGGCATGCGTCTTCCAGACCTATGCCCATGCAAGTGTAGTTGTTTGCCAATGGCACAGATACATGCCATTCTGCAGCCTCTATTCCACAGAGTACTGTGACTGACTTTCTGCAGACAGCCCTAGTGCCCCATTAGTCTTTCAGCCCTGTGTGGAATTACATATCTGGATATCTGTAGTGTGGGTAATCACCTCTTTTAGTTGTAGGTATGTGTTGTCTCCTGCTTTTGTGAATGAAAATTGTGTCACAGGTTTTGTGAGACAATGCCAGTGCTGAAGTGTGGCTGGGTTCTCTTCTGTAGGTTCTGAGAAGTTCCTCTAACATAGCTAGCATCTTGGCCTTCTTTGATTTTCTCACATCCCACAATGATACTCTGATCTTCTCATCTACTCTGACTAGCGCTTTGGGTTAAGGGTGCAACTCTGTACTGGCAAAGAAAACAGAGCGTATTATTGCCTAAATCACACTTTAAGTTGAAAGCACTACTTCAAAAGACCAGTTTTTTTTGGGGGGGGGTGGTAAAACGACTTGCAAGAGCTGACTTTAAAAAAGAACATACTGTTTGAATTTTGGAAAATATATATGGTCGTGTACCACTTTGACAACAGAGTAATATGTCCACAAATCCAACTCCACTCCCCAGCTCTTCACAGCTGACAATTTGAATTCTATTGTACTTCTTGCCTTTTTTAGAATGTCACAGACATGGAATCTGGATGGATGGATGGATGGATGGATGGATGGATGGATGGATGGATGGATGATAGTTAATAGGTAAATGGATCTTTCCTGTTTGTTAATAGCATGATGCTTTTGAAATTCATCCATGTTGCACACTCTAAATGATGATTGCTGGTTACTAATTTCACTCTGGATATTTGGATTCTAGAATTTGGGATTTTGTTGTGGATAAAACTGCATCCTGTTCTTTTTACAGATACATATTTCCATTCATCTGGGGTACATGCTTAGAGATAGGATCTCAATTTGCATTTCCCAGGCTGGTGGTGATGAACATTTTCTGTTTATTTGCCTTCCCTGTATCCTTATCTATTGGAGTGTCTTACCCAGGATTTTTGTTGTTAGTATTATCATGGTATTACTGAGTTGAAAGAGTTTGTTTGTAATTTGATACAAGTCCTTTAATGGTCATTTTTCTTACAAATATTTTCCCCAGCCCACGACTCATTTTGTTGTTTGATTTCTTGGTATTATCATTTAAAGAAGAAATTTTTATTTTCTTGGAGTTGAATTTATTATTTTTTCTTTTCTTTAACAGTTCATGTCTTTTGCACCCTGAGAATAGCCAGGCATGGTATTTCATATCCCAGGCCAGCATCAGGCTGTCTGAGGCAGGAGTATTATTGTGAATTCAAAGGCAGCCTATGACATTTAGTGAGTTCTCAAGTGTTTCTGAGCTGTCTCAAGCCAAAAGAATTAAAAAAAAAAAAAATTTTAAGAGCAAGAGCACAAAGATTTTCTAAAGTTTCATGGTTATTTTTCTCCATTTAGTTTTCCATCTATTTGCAGTTAATTTCTGTGTGCCTTTGGAGATGCAGGTGACTTTTTGTTTGTTTTGAGTGGAAATAGGCCAGCATCGTTGTTGAAAAGCTCATTGTTGAATTATGTTGATACTTTTCTTGAAATCATGAGTCTGTGTCTGGGACCTATTCTCTTGGTCTGCATGTTTACTGTCCCAGCATCACAACATCTTGGAGTCTTTTTGCTGTGAATTTTATTAGAGTTTACTTATGGGGGAGGGGGTGGAATGGACTAGAGGCCAGCAGAAGCAAAGGGTTAACCAACTCCCTCGTGGGGCCTTCTTCATGCCCAGAGCACACTCCCTTTTGGAGACCATGAGTCAGCAGTAAAAGCATCCAGAGAAAGGATGGGAGGCCAGTTTCACTGCAAGCCTGTTCTTCCCAGTGACATTTTACTGCAGTCCATTTGCATCATGACCTCGAGTCCCTGGGCAGTGTTTAGATGCAATTCACTCTTTTGGGCTTTGTCTTCTAAGCTATAGATTTACCTTCTTTTTTTCCCCCCATGAAGTTTGCTTTAGTATAAAAGCTGTGTCATAACAGCATTAAGAGTTGAGAACTGTCAGGTGGTAGTGGTGGTGCACACCTTTAGGGAGGTAGAGGCAGGCTGGTCTCTGAGTTGGAGGCCAGCCTAGTCTACAGAGTGAGTTCCAGGACAGCTAGGGCTACACAGAGAAACCCTGTCTCAAAAAAAAAAAAAATTACAAAATAAAAAAAGAGAGATTTGAGAATTGTTTCTTAACATAAGCAATTTCCCTGCAACAGATCATCCCAGGTAGGAAGACCTTCTAATTAAGCAATCAAAACCTGTATTCAGCAACCACTGTTCACAGACATTTGTTTCTAAGTCTTTGGACACTGTTTTCTCTACGAAGCAGAGTAATCATGTCGGGGAGGCTGGGAAAGACATTCCCGACTCTTGTCAGCCCTCCAGGTGGGAACACTGTGGTAGGGAGATGCTGTTGTGCTTCTGGAGGAGGCATGTAAATGGCACATTCTTTACAGATGCCTTTTCCTTATCATAGGCTGGAAGCTGTGAGTGCAGGCTGGCCCCATGTGCTGTAGGCTTTTGTTGTATAGTCTCTTTCTTTTATGTTTCAACCAGTGAGTACATCTTAGGCATAAATTTCAAAGAGTAGTTGTGAATTGAACATAACAAAAATACACAGACATTTCAACTTCTTATACCTTTCCAAGTCTGCCACCATGTCTCTGCCCCAGCAATTCTTCTTACTCTGGGTTTGAAAGCTTAAATCAAGTGAAGTTGGTATTAAGATCAAATAATTGTGTGCCACACAGCAGAATTCTGTCTTAAATTCACTGGAAAACTTGATTTGGCTGTACATAGACTGAGCATAGCACGCAGTGACCTAACAACTTCCAGTGTCCATTTTGCTGCTGTGTTCACTTTTGGATTTTCTTTAATTCCTTTTTTTTTTTTTCTTTTTGTAATTCAGCAATAACCTAATTGCTGAAGTGATGAGTAATTACTATTACTGAATGGACATTTTTTTTTTTTTTTTTACATCTTCAAGGTCAGACCCTAAAGGTTATGATCCTAAAAATTTATTTACATAGTAAGAGCTTGGGAATTGTGTTTT